TTAAGCCAAATAAAAAATAGTAAATAAAATGTGTAAATGAAACATAACAACAAAGCAATTAAATTGTATTTTTATAAGGCATCACTCACCCGAGTTTAGGGAAATCGTTCAGGCAGCTTAACCTTAAATACAATCATTTAAAATAAATCATTTATTTAGCATACAAACTAAACTAAATACTGGCTAACTTTTATACATTTCAAAAGACGCACATATGCTGCTCCTAGCTTAGTCTAATATTCGCAAGTTAAACAGTCGGCATCCATCCAGTCCATCCATGTCCAGCTGTCATCTACGAATGGTTATGCACTCCACTGACCGCGTAGCGGGATTGACCGTTCGGCATGATGTGCGTGATGACTCGAGAGCGGCATTGCTTGCGCCATCTGCTGCACTTCCAGTAGACTTTATCCTTGTAGGAGGCATTCCGCAGGTACCGATGCTCGCCACAGTGCAGGACACAGCTGCCAGCCGGAGTCCGAATGTATTGCACATCCACCGGTGTCTTGGAAAAGCGTGCACGCTTTTGCATTGGTTGTGATTGTGCCACTTCTATCACTTCATAGGTAACTGAAATGGCAAAGAAATTCAAGAGTATTAGTTGTGAATCAATAGCATTGTAGCCCAATTGAATATACCAAGATAGATTTCATCTTAACAAACTCTCTTGATATAAGTAAAACGTTTATTCAAATTTTACACATAAGAAATAAAAATCGCGGTTAAGAAAGCAGAAAGTAAGGATTCTTGATTTAATTTAATCGCTGCATATCCTCGATGCTTATGCTTATCGCTCCCAGCTCCAAGGAATACTCTTCCTCCTCCTCCTCTGACTTTATTTCTGACATCTGATGTGTGATCCCTCCTGAGGCCACTGATTTTTCGATTTTAGGCCTAGTCGTGCTGCGCGTCCTGGGCACTATCGATGGGCCAACTGACGACAGTCGCTTCTTTCGGCCAGTGTTATGGCAAGTGTGATAGCAGGACTCCAGCACAATCTTGTGTACTCCGTCAACGACATTGGTAACGACGCGAGCATTGCATTTAGTGCTGCCCTGCAATAGGAAATAGTTAAAGAGTCGAAGTATGTTAATTACAAAACTAATATAGTTTTATTAACAACTAAATTAGATAACAATGGTTATGTAATAATTCCGAAAATATAGAATTTTTTAATTTCAAATTCAATATTTTTCAATAATTGTAAAAATTATAAATTGTTTAAAAAAATTATAAAAATCGTATTATTAAACAAATTTTAATTAATTCCTTTTATTCACTTTTAATATAAGAAAAATTTTAGGTTTCCGATAATATTGATTATTTTAACTTCAAATTCAATATTTTCCAATAATCATAAATATTATAAGTTTACAAAATTTAAATATTTCCTTTTTTCACTTTAAATAAAATAAAATAGTTTATGTTTCCGATTATATTGACTTCATTAAAAATTATAAAATTCGAATTAAATTCGTAATATATAAAAAAGTTTCTTCTATTCACTTTTATTTAAAGAAAATTTTCGAATAATTATTAAGTTTTAAATTTTATATACAAGTTACAAGTTATACAAATTACAAAAATAAAATACTTTTGAAAGTAAATTTTCACACTCACCTTCTTGGAGCATATCCAATAGGTTTTGAGACCACTCCGTCGATTTCGAACATAGTTGTGGCCACTGAATGCCAGTAGTTTGCAGCCCCGTTGTCCTGTTGTGAAGGTGAGCAGGCTGTGTCTGATTGCTCCTTCAGCGTCGTCCAAATCAGAGTATTCTGTAAAACGAACATGAAACAATTAGTTTTATAATGTAGGATACACTCAAGGGTTGAAACAAATGCAACAACCAAGACAAAACAAAAACAAACGAATCGTTTTTTCAGGTTCTTTATATATTTTCTAATAAATAGTAATTAAGTCTAAGTGCGCTCCTACTAGGCCACAAGCACACTGATTTGCTCTGAAGTTATGAGCTCGCTTAGAAGCTGAGTGGCAAGATCAGGTTTCAGACGCCAGTGTGCGTGTGGACTTACGCAATGGTTTCTATTGCTGTGGATGGCTACGCTAGTAGGGCGGATGGTTGTGCTGGCCGCACTTTATGGTCACATCGTGGTCCTGCACGGTCACCACACGGGCCTTGCACTTGTGAGCCCCCGCCCGGGCGCAAGACCAGTACGTCTTCGATCCGGTGGCCTTGTTTCGGGTGAAGGTGAACTCCCCGATCTTCAGCTTGCGGCTCCCCCGGAAACCCGTGATGTAAGAGTAATATGCCACGGAATCGGAATCTGTGAATAGAAAGTTAACAAAATTGATTAGTGGTATGTTCTGACTTCAGGTAGAGCACAAATGATTACAACTAACAGGCAAACGTACGCAGCAGACACCGTCAACTTAGCTAAATTGAATTTTATTGAGTCAATTTTATTATAATTTACAATAAGGCTTAGGACTAGAGAGCTTAATTCCCCGTCGGCGAACTGAGCGGATCGGCGCCGGCCTGAGATTGATCCTGACGACGCTCCGCCCGGGACGCCGCCTCGGCCTCTGCCCGCTGGCGCTTCAGAGAGCCGTACTTGCGGGCCTTCAAGATGACCTCGTGATTGTGTTCGCTGTTCAAGATGGTCAGGGTGTCCTGTTTGGTTTTGAGCCGTGCCCGGCAGCGCAAGACGGCGAACTAAAGGATATAGGAATTAATAATCAAACTAATAGTAATAATAAGTATTCTTTTGTTATAAATAAAGGCTCAGAGGTTAATGTGATTCACTTAAACTTTGTTATAATCTTTTTTTTAATATATTTCCTTATTAATCGAGTTAAAAAAACAACTTATTCGGTCAATAATGATGTAAAGAATATATTTGTTTAGGTTAGAAAACCGTCTTAAAGTTTTGGGGAAAAATCCAGCCTTATTTATCTTTTGTTTTATAAAATATAGACTATACACTCACCTGACTGCAGCGCCAGTAGGTGACATCGTCCCGGCAAATGTGGCGATTGAAGGTGTGTTGCTTGAGCATTATTTGCTTTGTGCCATACTTGCTGACGATGAAGAATGGTGAGCTGCTGTTGACGCCGACGGATGAGCCGGTGGCCAGCTGCATGGTGGCCTCGCCCAAATCCACGCTGATCTGATAGTCGAACTTGGCTACAATGGGGGAGATAAGATGTAGATAAGGTTCCTTGTTAGTTGGAAGATGGCTGGCTGGCTGGTTGGAATATTATTGCAATAGGGACGCCTCGGATTTAAATGTAAATAAAACACTGGGAATGCTTGCATGGTTCTCGTTATATATATTGTACACAAATGAATTCTTTGACTATTATAGCTACATACACATCCTCTACGGGGGGCACTGAGGACAGAAGGTGGCGTGGTCGTGATGCTTGGTGAGACGTGGCCGCTTCTTAAGCTCCACCAGGACGTAGAAGGCCCGGCAGTTGCGGGTCAAGCAGTGGTAGTATGTACGGTACTGCATGGCGCGCGTTTTCTTGTACGATCTCCCGTTGACCATCAGGAACTCGCCTTGGGCCGTCCGCTTGAACCGGACGCCGTTATGCGTTATTTTTGCTGGAGATTAGAGAGTTACATTCGTGATGAGATGGGAGGGCGATACATGCGACGGATGATCTCTTAGCCTATCATCATGCAACTAAATTGTCTACTTCAAAGATCGTTTCTGTTTCTGTCTCTATATTTTTCTTTGTGTTCTTAAAATGACGGACTGAAGGCCACCTTGGGCAGCAACTTGGCTGGCACATTGGTGCCCAGGAATCGCGGCGGATGATTGTGCGGCTTCTTGCCGAGCTTAATGCCGCCATCAAACTTGGTGATGGCCCGCGCGGAGCACTTGTTCTCGGTCAGCCGCTTGCCATTGCCATCGGAACAGATCCAGTTGACGGTGGACCGGAAGCTGGCCTCCTTCTTGTACATGTATCCGTTAAAGACCAGGTTGAAGCCCTGCTTCTGATTGCGCAGGAAAAAGTATTCGTGCTTCTCGATCCACACACCGCGAGAAACGTCCCCGATGAACTGGCCTGAAATGGCGGATGTGGAAGATTACTGGATGTGTAACCTGTGGTGGTCAACTGGGGATCTTAGTAGGCCCAACCCAGAAAAACACAGGGATTGAAGCGGTGCTGAACAAACGATTTATTGCGGGATATGTTCCCCGATCTAGTCGAGAATATGTACGTAAGCCTACAGGAGTCTTAATTTATGTACATTTTTTACTTGTTTATGTATTCTGCCAAGTGTAAATCAATCTGTATTAATCAACTCACCCACAAACGGTACATTATCGGTTGAACACAGACACTAAGGACCATTACAAGGGCCACAAATATGAATTTTAATCTTGCTAATAACACAATAACACTTATTTTCCCCTTTTTGGAGGGATTCTTCTGCGAGACGACGCCAACAATAACAACACTGACGCTGGCTCGCTGTACACCCACTCACAACCGAGAAACACACACAGGCGCGCGCGGCCTGGCCACAGGACATTGCACACAAGTTTTGCATATTGTATATTATTTATACTTCAATGTAGATTATATTATTTACGATTGAACACAGTTTGTTTGCAAAAAACCGTTTAATTTCCACGGCGAAAATGTGAGAACAACAAAGATGGCGTGCTTAGAGGTGGAGAAAACATCGCTATCGATGTTTTCGATAAATATCGCTCATTTTGCGTGGTGCCAGACTTTTACTCACGCACAGTCTGGCATCGCTATGTAGCAAAGCTGAAACTTTTTGTCATTCACAGAAAAAATAGTGGCCGGCCTGCTCGCAGTCTGGCAGCACTCTGTCTTCTTAGTCCGGCTACTCTGGCGTGTTTTTCAACAATTTACTATTTTAGTTTTAATCTTTTTTGATTTAGACCTGCTTATAAACCAATAAACGGCTGCAAGACCAGTCAGAAATGCTTTTCAGTTGTTTTATTTTTCGTTTTCGTTTAAGGCGACTCTTTCCGAATTCAATGTTTTAACCTGTTGCACTTTTTCTCCATTTCGCAGCCGCCACATCCGCATCGGCAGCAATCGCAGTGCCTCCGAGAAAACGCGGCAGACCCAAAACAAAAGTTGAAGATGCGACGCCGAAGCCGAAGCTCCTGGACAAACTGCGGGCGGCCACCAAGAACGAGGCGAACAGCGAGCCGGCGGTGTACGCCTCCACCACTAAGGGTAAGTTGGAGGATCTACCTTCCTGCACCTGTTGCTTTGGCTAATCTACCCCTCTCCACACGCAGGCGGCGTCAAGCTGATCTTCGATGGCCACTTGTTCAAGTTCTCGTTCCGCAAGGCTGACTACTCGGTGTTCCAATGCTGCTACCGCGAGCACGGCGAAGAGTGCAAGGTGCGGGTGGTGTGCGATCAGAAGCGGGTGTTCCCATACGACGGCGAGCATATGCACTTCATGCAGGCCAGCGACAAGAGCTGCCTGCCCTCGCAGTTCATGCCGGGGGAATCGGGGGCCATAGCCTCGATGGACAACACCAGAGATCGAAAGCCAATGATAAAAAGCAAAACTAAGTTGGACGACACCGAGCCCGAGCCCGAACCAGAACCCGAGGAGGAAGTCGAAGAGTTTGAGATTCAGGAGATAGACGAGCTCGAGCTGGAAGAATCGACGGCTGGTGCCGAGGAGAAGCTCCCTGTTAAGGAGCCCGCCGCAGAGGTGGATCCGAATGATTTCCGCGAGAAGATCAAGCGGCGCCTGCAGAAGGCTTTGCAAAACAAGAAGAAGTGACACCTATCGTGCCCATGCGCCTGCAATTAAGCATATATATTTTTCTTTATTCTTCAGTTTGGGTTTCCAATATATATTTTTACATCAATTCACGTACACACATACATAGTTAAGCTTTTCCCAATAAAAATATGAAAATAAATCAAGAGCAAACCCGTTAACACTAAGCATGTAAGCGCTAAGCCGACTCGAGATATTAATGTGTTAGCCCAGAATAATCGACCAATTAATAACCATTATCTTTCCCTATTTTTCCAGTCACCCAACATGTACGAAACTGTGGCCCGCAGATGTTCCTGATAAGCCGAAAGGGCGGCACACTGCTGACCATCAACAACTTCATCTACCGCTCCAATCTCAAGTTCTTTGGCAAGAGCAACAACATTCTCTATTGGGAGTGTGTCCAAAACCGATCGGTCAAGTGCCGCAGTCGCCTGAAAACCATCGGCGATGATCTCTACGTGACCAATGGTCTGTGTTCAAATAGTAATTTACTTTTTGTAAGCTAATGGCGTGTATTTTTCTTTTTACAATCCAAAAGATGTGCACAATCACATTGGCGACAACAGGCGCATTGAGAATGCCAGGGCCTCTGGCATGCTGATCCACAAAAAGCTGAGCTCGCTCACGGCCGCCGACAAGATGCAGGGTTCTTGGAAGCTGGAAACCACCGAGGCAAACCAGGACCCGCAGCCTAAGATGTAACCATCTGCCACTTTTTAGCCATTCCCCTTTCATTCGACTTACATTTTTTAAGCTAAAGCTATTGTTTTCGTCAAGTTTATGTCCGATTTGTAGACTGAGTGTCCCGAGCCCAGTTAGGATGGGTAAGTACCCTACCTGGGACTTCATCAATACGAGTCCTGTGATTCGTAGAATTAATTCTGTTTATGGCAAAGGGATACAAAATAGGAAATTTCTAATAAAATCATATGAACATCTAAGCTAAATACATTTTAAATGAGCGAATTTGCACCAGGCTACTCTTGCAATGTCTTTCTTTTCCGATTTTGTATTAGACACGCAGTAAAATGCAAACAGTTTTCAATATCTAATATTCAATATCACCAGGTTGTGGTTTTTAGGAACTCCATGAAACGTGCGATCGGAACCTCCGATGTTCACCAAAAAAAAAATCTAGAAATTTGTAAAAATCCTATGATATGTATAGAATTTTGATAGTATAAGAATATTTTCATAATTTCTCTTTTTATTCCAGCATTAAGTACTTTTTGAAATGTCCTAGGATTGCTTATTCAAGTGTATTTTCTTTTGTGAAGCCTGCTAATATACTGAGCAACTACGAGTTTATTCTGAGATCGTCTCACATTCCCTCAAAGAGATTTGCAACTATTCGGTTGGAATCCACGGCATCTTTAGGCTGGCCAGCTTGCACCTGACATTCTTGTGGTTGTGCGAGGAGCAAGTGCTTCGATATTTCACTTCGCTGCCCACCATGAAGGTAGAGGCCCGCGCTTTGCAGCCCTTGTGATGGTACATGCAGCGCCAGGATCCGATCAAGTTATCCTTGCCCAGAATTCGGTGCACGATGAACTGTTCATTGGCTATGATGAGCTTGGGACGCCTATGAGCCGCCAGATTAAACTCTGCAGGTCCGTCGTACTCCATGGCTTTCTTTGAGTACCGACGTCGAACTGGAAGAAGAGAAAGCAAAGCAACTGCATCAGAAAAAGGGAATATATAGTAAGCAGGCTAACATCTCTTTTAATGATTTAAGGGTTAAAGACAGCATACAAAGTTTTTCCAAGAGAATTTATTTTGTAATTTGTAAAATTATTTAAATCTATCAGGACTTACACAACGTTGCACTTAGCTTAAGTCTAGGTGAGTCGATTTGCAGTGGGTACAACACAAACCTATTATAGACACGCTCAAAAGGAAATATAAAATGTACACATTAAGGATACATAACTTTCTGCCTCCCTTTAAATTAAGTACTTTTGGGGCAGTCCTTGTATCCATTTGTATATTATGGCAGCAAACATTGTATATACATATAAACCCATTAATGTTGTATGTTGGGAGGGTAAAACTATCAGTTTTAAATTTATACATCGATAAAAAATGTCATGAAAATTGCAAATAAAATTGCAACATTAAAATCTTAGCTATAGACACCACAAATCGAACATCACCTTGGTATAGGTACACTCTACATCGACACTAGTTCAAAAACTTGCTCAAAACCACAGACATTGATGACCCCATACCCAGGGGTTGCGCTAGTAATCCTTGCTGATGAAAACCGCTCCGTGGGCTTGGTGCTGCTGCATTAGCGCCATCATCTGCGGCGCCGTCTGCACGCTGGGCAGGGACAGGGGCATCGCCAGTGACATGGATACGGGAACAGGTACAGTCACCGGCATGGCCAGGTGGGTGGTTGTAGTGGCGTAGGTTGGCGGCGGCATCTGCGAAACCTGCGTCATCATCTCCAGCGTCGGAGTTGTTGATGTGACCACCGTGTTCGGGTTGAGTATGGGATTCTTTATCGCGGCTGGAACGTTGCCGTTTGCCTTCGCCTGGCAATACAGCTGGCACAGTGGCAGGAGCTCCTTGTGGCGCCTCTTGATATGGCTGAGGAAGTTCCCCGTTGATTTGGTGGTGCCGGATATTAAGCCGTAGCAGGTGGTGCAGGTGGCCTGAATGGCCCCAGGCGTCTTTTGGTTCGGCTGGATGTTCTTATAGAACTTACCGTCCAGTATCTTGGGCAGGGTAAAAGGCTTTCGGAATGATTCATCATCGCTCAGATATGTGACGGCCAAAGCGGCGACAGCAGCATCTGTGGGCAATCCGGGCGTGGGCGACTGCTCCTCCATTTTGATCTCAACTGCAAGATTACATAGAAACAAGACATTAGTAAGGAATTTAACGAGTGTTTCAAGAACTAAAGTAGGTACAAAACGAACACGCATAACTACATATTTCATACACATTTAGTTTAATTTATTTAGTTTAAGTTAAGTCTAGGGATAAAATAATATAATTTGTTGCTTGTGGCGGCGAGCCTACTGCAGCTCCGAGAACTCGTCAAGCAAGTCCGCCGTGAGATCTATCGAGGTGACCTCCGGGCCGTGGGTGTGCGGAGCCCCAGAGATGCGCAGGTGGACATCCTGTACCTTGGAGGTGACCAATGTGGCCCGGCAGCTGTGCTTCACATACCGTGAGCAGCGCCAGAAGACGTTCTTCTGGCTCTGGCGGTTTACCACATACCGGTAGCCTTCGTAGACCAGCATCACCCGTCCCCGCTGCGTGGTTGTGTACTGGATGCTGGTGGTCTTGTCCTCCAGGAGAGCCTTCAGCGACTGGATGATGCCTGAAATCAAGGGCGAGCAAGTTGATAATCATTAGTTTTTGGTCTTATTTGAGAGCTTGTCCCAGGATTACGTGCTACTCTATAAAGAGCTAGGAATTTAAATTTCTAGTTACTCGTGTTTATTTCAATTTACAAACGCAACAAACAACTATTGAACACAATTGGCTCTTTAAATTATGGCCCCGGCTTGGTCACCGACGCCTTGAGGGTCGCGAGCTTGTGGTTGATGAACTCCTGCACTACTGACGGGGTCAACTGGTCTCCGCGAATGGCAAAGACCTTGCACACGTGAGCTGCAAAGATATGAATGGTTCTCCCATGTAAAAATCGTGTGTTTAGTTGAGATCACTACAAGCTATGTACTTATGATTTCCTGCAGCAGATTTTTGTAAGGCGACTCCTCGTCCCGGGCAATCTTGGCCAGAGTCTCCTTGCCAATCACCAGGTCCGTTACCCGTGAGGTATATATGGCCGGCATGGGTATATAGGCTCTGGCCAGCGCCGCCTTGGAAACATAGACGAGGCTGCCATCGTACAAGGGAATAGCATCGGCATCCTTTTTGGGTTTTTCCGTACCAATTGTTGTTGTTGCTGTTTTCTTGTCATTTTCCTTTGGCTTGGGCACGACTATAGGGTCCTTTTTTGGTGTTTCTAAAATGACACATTAAAAAAAGAACAAACTTTTGTTAAAACACCGATTTTAGGCATGAACAGAAAACATAAACAAAATAAAACACAGTTGCGGTGCTTGTATAGGACTTTATTGTGGTTAATTTTATAAATAAGAAACTGCACTTGCAACACATTTCAGGCGGGCAGGGAGCTACAACAGTAATCCTTAATAATTATCACGTCCATCGCTGTATTTAACGGGGTAAAACACAAATTATTGTTTTAAGCACGCCCACGAGTCACACAAGGCAGAAAAATAATGGCAGCGCCCAGGGCTGCATTCAGGCACAGTGACACTTCGCTTGAGGGTTACAGCTCTTCGAAATATTACAGCACTTTGTTACCTATTTAAACAAGTTAAAGGGAGTTGTTAAAATCAAAACAGATATTTTTATAATAAAATCATTAATTTTCAATATGTTGTTTTCAAAGGACAAGCTGTGGCGGACGAAAAAACCATTCCCCTTACCAGTACGCACTGTACCTGCAACCCTGGCTGGGAATCAAACAGTCCGGCAACTCTGGTAAAATGCCACAATTGTGAAAAAAAAAAATAAAGCAAAAGTGAACGGCAGAAAATTGTTAATAATGGTGTATAAACAAGTGATATTACAGAAACGAAAGCGACCCGGGTTAGTGAAACTTATTGGCCCAATGGGTAGGTGCACCAGAAAACACACGCGGCCTGCAAAGCGCCCTAAATAGTGCAGAGTGATAAAGCCGAGGCAAAAAGCGACGCCTACCTAAATTTCTGTCCAAGCAAATATTGTGTACAAATGGTAAAATGTCGAAATTGCAATGCAAAAACAATGTCAATTCTATGTCAATAAAGTGTTGTGTTTGCAACAAAAACAACGGTGCAGGGAAATTATTTGGCGGATCAACTTGGGCAATCGAGCTATGCGGAGCTGTCTAATCAATATACACATCCTCCCACTCCAAATTCTGTCTTGCAGAGCTGGAGGAGCACGAATTCAAGGCCCAGCCATCGCTGCCAGTGGCGAAGAAAAAGCCGGGCGGCTCCCGGAAGCAGAACTATGACCACTTGGATGTCTGCTTCACGAAAAGCAATCGGGGCAACAATCTGCTCACCATCGACGGCAAGCCCTTCACTCTCAATCGGCGGATCAGGGACGTCTGCTACTGGGAGTGCGTCAAGCTGCGCTGCAAGTACACCAAGTGCTCCGCCCGCGTGGTGACCAAGTCCAACCAGATCTCGGCCCTGCGTGGCTTCCACAATCATCCCTAAATTACGAATTACCTGTGCCATTCAACCATTTAGTCAAATAAATATGTTAAAGTCACACCACCTTCCACCTGCAGTTGTAGCTTCTGTAGTGTGTTTGCCAGCAAGTAAACCAAACTCCCCAACACTAAAGTCTCGTCATCCTTGCAGCTGTCGCCGGGTATCAACTGGTGGCCAATCGCCGCGGCGGCCAGAATCTAATTTTCAAAGGACACATGTACACCGTGGAGCGCAAGTACAGTAACAGCATCAACTGGGTATGCTCAAAGAACAGCAACATAAAGCTTCGCTGCCCGGCCAGATGCGTCACCACTGCCCACTCCAGCAGCATCAAGCTAAGCCATCGTCACCACAATCACCCAGCAGATGCCTTCAAGCTGCACCGACCAAGAAGGCGAGGTGATGCTGCGAGGAAGAGAAACCGACGCAACTGAAGAAGAACAAGTGCGGATTTACCAATTGTTAGTCTAAGGAAGATTTCTAAAGAATAAGAATATATTAATTTCGTTTTAAGCTTACTTGTGGCAAAATATATTAAAGTTAAGCTTTACTGTATTTATTTTTATATTTACTAACCATTTCTCATGCTCTTTTCTTCAGCAGGTCCACTGTGGGAGGCCCATATTTATAAACAAAATGGATTTATGGTCATCGATGGCTACCGCTTCGTGATCGGAGCCTCTCATGTGCATCGCACCTATTTGAAGTGCGCCAACTTCCGTCACAATTGCCGGGCCAGGGCCATTTTAAATAGGGACACGAACAGAGTACGGATGAGACACGAGGGCCACAACCAGATGAGGCGAAAAGACGAATCTCAAAGAGAGGGGAATAAACTTAAAACTAATTCAGATGCAAAATGTTCGCCTGCTTTTCACTGTAATCCAACTAAGACATAATCCCATTACATCTAAACACGAAAACGATATTTGCCAAGCGCCCACTAATTCCAATGACATCTATTTCTTGCAGGCACATCCAGATTGGCTCAGTATGTGCGCTCGAATCGAGGCACCGACCTTGTCTACCACGAGGGAAATACCTACACACCCAATGAAAAGCTGAGGCAAGGCCAGAAGAGCAGGGACTGGAAGTGTTCGATGTACCACAAGGCCAAGTGCCGAGCTCGCTTGGTCACAAAGCTAACACACGGCGGTGATATCATTCACGTCACCAGCAACCTTCACACCCATCCCACCATGTACACAACCACCCAGAAATCGAAGAAGCAGCCATGCCTGGAGAGAAATCCCCTCTGCGTGCCTATTAGACCCAGCAAAATGCAGACCAAGTAAGCTCTAATGACTGAAATACTTGGAGTAAGATCTACATTAGTATTGACTTAAAACTAAACTAATTAAGGCATTAGGTTTACTGAAACTAGTCTGCTTGGAGTTAATCAATATTAAGTGAGTTTTAGTTCTGAACAGAAAGGTTATTAGGTTTATTTTCTCTTATTTTCGATTTGCCAAACCACTTGAAGAAGGCAAGAACACAGCTTGTAGCAAATTATAAATCGAATAAATATTTTTCTTAGCCAATTAATGCCTCTTCTCTTCTAAATACAATAAATCCCTTAATCAGCGTGCCGGTTTTGACTTTTTATTTCGACAAGGTCCTCACCAAGTCTTACTTTTCCAACTAATTATTTCTATATTTTTCTTTGCAGAACTCTTTGTCACGGGAAGTGACCTGCCGGTGGAGTCGGTATACAATGCACATGGAAAGCCAATGGACTTTATACCCAAAATATATTGCATTCGGGGGCAAAGGAAGTCCGTACAGTTGATGTATGATCGATATGCCTATGCCAAGAATAATAGACATGGCTGCACCACCTATTGGAACTGCCGGCATCGACGGATTGGTCACGAACCCTGTAATGCTCGATTATCCACCACGAAGCTGCCAAGCGGAAACTTCAAGGTGTTCCTGTCCAAGCCAGAGCACAATCATCCGCCCTCCAAGCGCCTTCGTAGGCAGTATGATTAGTTTTTAAGATTTAATAAAGTATAAACGCGCCTTGTGACTTGGCAAACAGCATTCAACCGACCGACTATGATCTGTAGATGTAGGGATTTGTTATGCCATAGTCCTAATATCACTAATGCCTATTCCTCTTCTCTGTCATGTCCGCAGAAAGCAGCGTAGCCATCTACTCGGCCACATCGCGCGGACGGATGCAACTCATCTACGGCGGCCAGCCGTTCATCTTCGAGAAGACGCTGAAGCTATCGACGGGCGAGGAGAAGCGCTTTTGGAGATGCAATCAGTGGTGGAATCAAAAGTGTCGCTCCCGTGTATTCACCATCAACGACGTGGTCTGTCCCTTGAATCGATTCCACACGCACGAGGAAATTGTGCGCCGCAAGAAGAGGGTGCGCCGAGTGCCACCACCGGTGGTGGTGAAGGTGGACACCACGACGTCGGCCAGGCAGCAACAGCATCAGCAGGAGATCCAGCTGGCCAGCGATGCCATGCTGACCACAGCCCTGGAGGACGAATCCCCAGCGACGATTGATGTCAGCGAGTTGGGAATGCATCTGAAGTATGAGGAGATAGTGGCGGATGTTACGGGCATTGTGGGCGGTGTCAGAGTGGTCAGTCGTCGGAAGTGATGCCCGCCACTTCGTTCGGATTTGGTGGCGTCATCTAATTTTTTCATTAATAATCGTCGGAGTGGATTTTAGTTTATAAAATACATTTTACTTTTCTAAAGCACCTCAGACCGAACTGTACATTTTGAGAATTTTAAGTAGCCTAAAAACGTATGCTCTATTTTAAATGTGAACTTGAACATTTTCAATATTATTTAGTTATTAGCAACCGCGCTCCTATCACTTACTTGTGCGTAAATATAGATTTTAACTTGTGTTTTTAGGAGACGGACAAACTAATTTAACTCTCACCATTCACTTTATACAAATCTAAATATATATATATGTGTGTAAATCCAATAAACTTAAGCCTTTAACAGTGCACTTTATATAAATCTGTAGTTAACTGATGACTCGATGATAACTTTATGCAATTTTCATGTGTAAAAAAACCCTGTAGTAATCATCCGGATCCTATGCTTTCTTTTTCTTGCAGTCGCCGAAGCCTCATTCTACTTCACCAAGGGTCAGAGGGAATCGATCAAGCTCAACTACGGCGGCCACAGCTACGTCAAGTTTATGGAGAACGGACGCGGCACTAAATGGATATGTGCCACGCGCTCCACCACCAAGTGCCGGGCCCGCATTCGGACCACCAAAAACGATAGACTCGAGGTTCTTCATGCCCCGCACAATCACGAACTGACGTTGGTGAAAAAGGAGCGGGGAGGCCTACGTAAGAAGGTTAAAAAATCGAAATGAAACGGTAGAATACAGTTTTACTATTAAAATCTGCCATATAAATATATATTTTTACATATCTATATGGAAAGATATAAGATATATATAAAGTTGAAGGTCTTTTTTTGTCTTAAATAAATATATATTAAGAAAGAAATAATTAAACAAAACAATTAAGTATACTCAAAGATACACATTTAAAATTAGCTGAAGAAAACTGAAATATAAGTTCTATATAAGAAATTCAAAGAAAATTTACAAAAATACTTGGAGTTTTCCTATTTTTTTCGAACCCTTAACTGGAGGTCGCCTTACCCTAAAGTTTCCATAAAATCAGCTTAATATTTTAAACAAAAGAAGGAAAGTAAATAGAGTTCAAATGATAATATGATTTATTCGGTATTTTATTTTTTATGAAAAGAAATAGAAAATTACTTAAAAGTAATAATAAAATGGAGATAAAAATGTTGCGAGACACTCTCTAAAATTAGGTCTTGGTTAGGATTAGCAGTCCGTATTAAGGATGCAGCTCCTCGAAGCAAACGTTACACATCCAGTTAGCGCCGGGACAAGTGTCGCACAAGGTAGTGACTTTACGCATATTTGATATGCCCTTTTTTAGACAATTGACACACTTGCCTTTCATCCGTGGTATTCCCACGGACACATAGTTGTGCCGATTGGCCGATGTGCGTATAATGTTGTCCGGATTTTTAAGGTTGAGCTTCTTTTGCGGAAGGTGGTACATCGGTCGGGCTATTTCAACAGTTTTCTTTAAGACTGCAATAAAAAAAAACACACAAATTAGCTAATGAAACAATTAAATTTCTTAAATACTTAAAATAAAAAAAAAACTATTACTCTTTTAAGGTTTTAATAAGACTGGAAAAGTTTATTTAATTTCGTTATTTGTGTGGGCTGAAAAATAAATTATCTGAAATTAAAACACATAAAAAAACATTAAAGACTTTGCAAATCGTAAGAAAAACTATTCAGATATACTTACCATTTAATTTTTTCTTTCCTCAACGCCAGACTGCCAATTAACCACCCTGGGAATGAAAGTTTTTAGGCGTTCAGGGGGTTCATGATTGTGAAAACCCCTTATAGACTTAATTGCTTTCATGTGCGTGGTGAGAGCCGAGGTGCAGTGCCGCTTTTTGTACATGGTGCACCGCCAGAAGGCCATCAATTTCTCCGTGTTTCGCGTATGGCAGCTAAAAGTGAAGCCATCGTGCACCAGTTTTCCTCGATCATCGTAGGTGAGCACTGCAAAAAGGGAGAAAACTTGGATTAATTACAAGGAGAATTAGCAATCACACTTACACTTTGGCACTGCAAGGGGATCGGGTTCAGAAACTGAGCAAGCTGACATTAATTTTACTTGTTTATTTCCTTAAATCACTGCAGTGATGGGAAAGGTACGAATTTTATCTAGAAAATATGCTGTGGTTCCATGTATGAACCAAGGTATCAAGTAACTTAAGGTTAAACTAAAAGTAAGGTTTACAGTCAATATTTACACAAAGTATTTGTTAATTCGATTTATAGAAGATCTGTTGAGCTTTTGAGTCGTAACCGATATGTTTCCATGTACCTCCCATCACTGTCACTTAGTTAACTACATTGATTGCACTACAGAGACCACAGGTACTGCCCTTGGGCCACTATTCGGGGATGAGCATCAGGGAGGCGTGCATCAGTTCGTGGTCTGTCAGTTGCAATGAAGCCGCTTCACCGCTGGCCAGCTGTGGCTGCTCCTCCTCGTTGAACTCATCATCCTCCTCTTCCTCCTCCTCCGTCTTGGGCTCTTGAACAAAACTGTGCGTTCTAGAGTGCTTCCGTCCTATGCATCCAACGGCTGCCAGCTTGTTTCGCTGCACAATCTTCTCGATCTTGTCCGTGTGCGGCTGGTGATTGTGCAGTCCGCCAGTCACACTCTTCAGCCGACCGTTCTCCAGTACGCACCGTGATCTGCAGCGCATCTCGTGAACCTTCTTCGAGTAATTGTGGCAGCGCCAATACTGTTTGTTGCTCTTGCGACTGTGGCAGTTGTACATGTATCCATTGAGCACCAGACAAGGCGTTGACCAGGGGCTCTCGATGAAGACCAGCTCGTTGCCATCTGTGAAATACACAAGTTGCAGCTTTGATTAGTATAAATAGTATAGAAATTGAAAGCTTTTATCTTAGTTTTCAGTACATCCTACCGACTAGTTAGAAATCCTTTTATTTGGTCTCGTTTATTAGAATTTTTAATAGACGAATACGTTTACAGAATTAAGAAAAGTAGGCTTAAACTATATTCGAAAGGAAGGGCCGATTTGTTGGAATGAAAATATCTAAAGGATTTTATGAAAATCCTATTGAAAAACTGCAACTACTACAGCGACTGTATATAAATTTCGGCTTATATTTTAGGTTTGCCACTTTCTTATCTTTTTATGACTTACGCAGACTTCGAGATTGGGCAGTTCTGGTTCTTCTCACATTTCATAATAGATATATCCTATATAACCCGATAATGGATACGTAGCCAACAAATCGACCCATTGCACAGTTCGAGATAAATACAAGCTTAGTTGCTAGATAGATGCTTGATCCTTAGAACTCCTCGGCGTTTGTCCTCCTCCTCCTCCTGCCATCTGGCCTCTCGCTCCCGGTCCCGCACATCCGCTTCGTCCTCCTCCTCTTCCTCCTCGGCCTCAGCGGCATCTACCAGCGCCTGCATTTCAATCTCTGTGGCCTCGGAGGCGGGCAGAAAAAGTTTGCATTCCTTGCCGTCCTTAGCGGTCATGATGCTGATGTTACTGCTGCCCAAATACTGCGAGATCTTTGGGTTTGACGTGCAGATCTCGATGTACTCCTCCAGCTCCTCCTCGACTTTGTACAGCTGCCGTTGTCCGATACGCGAGGCATGCGACTGGTGGTTGTGCTGCCGCCTGGCATCGACAAAGCTACCATTCTTTGTGATGACCACCGCCTTGCAGCGCAGCTTGAGGACATCCGCACAGCGCCAGGTCGTTTGTCCATTGGCTTGGGTTAGCTTCTTGTTGTAGATGTAGTCCCGGAACACCAGCTGGGCGTTCTTCTTTTGACTCCTTATGAACCTAATGTCTTCGTCTCCTGATTGCCCGAAGATTCCCCAACGCATAAGGACGATAAGAAGGCGGAGAAGTGTGTTTAGTGATAATAGCAATGTCAAGTTAGACTACAACTAAACTAGTGGATGGCTTAAGCGCTAAGTTAGGCTGCACGGCGAAATAAAACAACATTTAATTTAGGTTTTTTTTTGCTTTAAGCTGTTTATTTGCAGACAGAGAACCGTAGAACCCATGTAGATGGTGGCAGATACTCACGGATGCTGGGAAAAACATAGTTTTCGACTTACAGTAACCATTTATCACACATTTTAACTTCACTTTGCTTTAAAATTTCCACAAGGGTGGAAAATGCTTTGAATTGATAAACACTCCATTTGCCTACAAGGCACAGGCGCAATATAAATTACTTGTCACAACACAGGCACATTTCACAGAAATTATTAATTTACAAGCATATATTATTCTTATAATTTCGGCAACAACAAAATAAAAAACAAATGCAGCTTGGCTTGTGGATAATACTATACGACGTTGCCACCTTTTAAAATACAAGGATGCATTTCAGAGCTGCCATACCTTAGATATTCCAGCGATACGGCAACGCTTTAAAAAAATTAAATTAAAATTCCCATTTAATAGTTTCTTTATTTTCAATATGCATTCGTACAACAAAAATATCTTACAAATAATTCCAAATCTAAAATCAGCACAAGCTGCGGCCTTCAGCTAAGCTGCTATGACTCTTAACTATACATTAGCTCCTTGTTTTAAAACCAATTGTTAGCTTTAAATAAATAAAATGTCTTACAAATACATATATTTGTTTAAATTTAAAATATTGAAAAAAAAAAGCCCTAGAATAGTGACGTTCTTGTGGGCACTTCACCACCAATGCGTACAAAAAAAAAATTTTATCCAGGTACCCAAATTTTGAAGGCAACTCTTTAATAGGTACGCAAATCTAGTTAACCTTGCAACTATCCTATACTCTGAATTAATTTAACTACAAATTTAAATTCTGAAACTGTATCTATGGCTAGTTTCCTTCACAACAAAAATGTAGGTACTACAAATGTATAATTTTAAATCTGAATCTATTGGCTCATTTTCCTTCAAAAAAAAATGTGATACCCATTTATTAATATTTGCCTTCAAATAGACGTCAACACTATAATAAATATTAATAAACAAGCATACCCTATGAAAACCTTTACATAAGACTCGGCAATAAATGCCGTTGCTAGAAAACCGAATCAGCAAGCTTTTACGTTGCTTCAACCAGTCTCTAAGCAACATCTTTAAAATAAATAATATTTGTAAAATCCACTTGAAAATTATAAATACCAGAAGAGAAATCGAATAATGCTCTGCGATTGTTTGATTTGATTTCGTAGCCGTCCAGGCTTCACACCACTTTACAGCAAAGTTCCTGAAAATTAAAAAATAATACGGACCTTACAACTATATTATTACCTTGAATAGTTTACAATATTCGGTGCTCTCGGGTGCAGCTTCAGTGTTCATCTCGTCCACTTGGTAAAAATTCAACACTCTACTCACCTCTAAACACTACTTTTTAAATTCGCGTGATCCAGGCTTGTTGGCATTTAAATAATTTGCCTGAAACAGCCGATCGACCAAGTGTTCTTTTGCGGTTTAAATAGAACACTGGTTGCTTAACTAGCTAATAACTAAGGGCCACCAAAGCAATGCTTAAATTAGTTTTTATACCAAATTTAAACGAACTTAACGGGCTTTTAAAGAATATGTTTTGTTTGCGAAGAGATTTAAGTAAAGGAAAGTAAGTAAAAAATGTCATTGTGATTCTAATGAAGATTTTGACTTCTTCGCAAATGGAAAACACATTCTTTTCTAAAAACTACTTATGACTATTGGCTTTGAGCCATGTCTATGACAGAAATTCAACCAACCTTGAGCCTCTGTGTTGCCCTGATCCGCGCTGGTGTCGACAAACGAAGAGTCACTGTAGTTTTGCTTGACCACCGCCTTGGATGTTGTGGCCGTCACACCGCCGCCACTCGTATTCGCCGCAGACTGGTTGCCAGCATCCTCGTTCTCCGTGAAATAGCTGTCGTCATAGCGCATATCGCCGTAGGCATCATCCTCTACGTACGTTCCCTCGCCATCGCCAGCAGCATCGCCATGGTCCTCAGAGTAGTCCGGTTCAGATTTCGTGGGCAATTCCATGGGGAGATCAATATATTCAGCTTCTTCCTGCTGCTGGCGGACTTGCTGCTGCTGCTGGTGGAGCTTGGATTCAGCCGCAGACACTACAGTGGTTTGCACGGTAATTTGCTGCGGCACCAGTTGCTGTGTCGTCGTCGTTGTGGTGGTTCCAGTTTCCGTGGCCGAGTCGAGGGGGTCAATTACGTTGGCGGAGACAGATGTTTTCGAGCGCTTCACGCCGCCACTGCTGCTGGTTGTGGTCAAACTGGAGCGCGGAGCGGATCGTTTGTTTGTCGACACCAGCGTTGCCGTCGTCGTGGTCCCCGTCTGCAGCTGCTGCTGCGTCTGGATCTGCTGCGACGCCTGCTGCTGCTGTTGTTGCTGCTGCTGCGGCTGTTGTACGATGGTAGCTTGAGGTGCGGCCGTGGTCTGGATGACGATCTGGGTTGTGCCCTTGTTATCGTCTCCCAGGCCGTCGTCCACAGTCTCGATCTTGTAGCGGGCGGAGGCGCGCGGCTGCTGGCGCTGCACCCGCTGAGTCGGTACTTGCTGTTGTTGTACATGAGGTGCTGCTGGTGGTGGGCTGGGCTCCTGAGGCGGTTGCGGCGCAGGATCGTTCTGAAAAATGAAGATATTTAATATTGTAACCTTTTGTTGGGACGTAAAAGTTTAGAGAAAATAAAATAAAAACAAAATTTGTACTGATTTGATGGTGAATTGATAAGGAGCCCAATTTAAATGAAAATTTCCCTGATATTAAAGTTATTTTATATAAAAAAAATTCATAATTTAGCTATTTTAACATTTTCTCAACTTATACTTCTCACATTTTTCTTATCCCCAATCTCAGGTACTAATAATTGTTTATGCTATGGTACCGATAATTCGATGCCTAACAACCACCCAGTTGACTGTTGCCATGTCGGCAAGAGCGAGACAAACATATTGTACGCAGCACACATTCACAAGCACTTTTAAAGCGAACCTATTGCCTTCTCTATCTGGCGCAGCTGCCGTTTGGCATTTGGGCTGCGAGAAATTTCTCGGTACAGTCAAGTCGCCATGCTCTTATACAGACGCTGCCGTACGCGTGTGTGTATTGCGCGCGAAAGACGATGCGCTTGGCATTGTTGTTGTTTTTGATATACTTACATCCGTCAGCCCCTTGATTTGCAGCGATTCAGCGGTGCTAATAAAAGCGGGCAAGGCGTCCTGCTTCACATTAACTTCGCCGCAGTACATAAACTGTATTAAATCCTTAAGCGCAGAGTGGCTCACATTATTCAGAAATACTGCGAAGAAAGAAATCATTGAATTATGCCCCTCTGTCTGAAGTTAAAAAAACTCACCAATCGCATGGGTGTTCGACGGCATCTGGGTGAACATCTTCCGGAAAAATGGCGAGCAGACAGATAACACCAATCGATGGGCCTTCACTATATGACCCTCGGCCGCCAGGGAGACGTCCACCAGGTCGCCGCGACATAGCGACTCGTGAAAGCCAGCCGACAAGTTTGTGTTGAAATTATTCCAGCACAAACTGAATTGCTCGTCGTCCGCCATCTTGGACGAAAATCAATACTTTTCTGTATCTATGCGTGTGGGCTGCAAGCGCAAGAAAACCAATGCATTTGATTGTTACTGCTTCAGAAGTTGAGTTAACTAAAAGATTGTTTACAACCACCGCAGGCGATTAAGAAGCAATCGCCAAATAAATGCAACGCAGCCGAAAAACTGGGAAATTTTTCACGCGTCTATGTGTGCGTGCGAAATAGATGGCTTCTCTTTCACTTATTGGCCGTGCAATCAAATGTGCGAAAGAAACAATCACTGCCGTTTGAAAACTCACCTCTCACTTGGTAATTCTAAATAAATAAATTATTTATTTTGTTAAAGTTAGTCTTAATTCCCGCTGACGCAGAAATGCGTCCGATTCTTTTGAAAGCGAAAAAAGGTGTGTATGTATTATTAGAGCTGCAGTGTTGCCAGACTTGCATGGGTTAAAATAGCTAAATTGAAAGAAAGAAATATGCTAGAAATAGCTAAAAACAAAAAATTGCTAATTTTCTTGTGTTATTTTTAATATCTGAATTTTTAATTACGGAATCTTTGTATTTATCTGATTCAGACATCCTTTGTTGGCAATGTGTAGTTAAAACAACACATCCCACTTCTTTTGAGTCCAGATCTGTAATGAATATTCTTTTTTATATGCTTGCAGGGTATTATAATTTCAGAGAAAAAGGAATTTTGCCAAAAGTAGCCGAATCATTAAAAAACATGAGCTAGATTTCTAGCTAATAGCATTTGCATTTTTAAACTAGCTATAAAATTCTTAAAATGGCATCACTGGTAGCCAAATGAAAATTGGCTTTTCCCTAAAAAATCCCAAACATTCATGAACTGGCGGTCTGGCAGATTTGGTCACTCACGAACATAAAGTATGGCAACACACCAGTGCTGGTGCCAAGGGAATACCCTAACTGTATATTTTTCACAATATTTAAATAATACTTAAACTTTTTCCCTAAAAATTATTTTCATCTAAAACTCCCCCTTGGGCCCTAGGCCGTAAAAAACCTCTAAATCATAGGTGGGGATGGGGGGAGGGTCGTGAACCACTGATATGGGAATCCTGTCGTTATTATTAAAATATTAAAATTAATATTTTTTCGCGGTGCAATGGATGAGTTAAAAATAGACATTAATTTGTGCACATTTTTTAAATCATCTAATATTATATACTTAAACAAATGTATGCCTAAATTCATTTTTAAACATATACCTGCTAACTCGAAACTTTGCCTGAAGAGGGGGAAGAAGTAGGCCTGTCTTTTTTAGTTCTTTGTTTTCTTAAGCCTTAAATAAATATTACTACTTTTAAATATTATTACTTTTATGTTACAATGGATCGCCTTGCTTCAGGAATATCGAATACTTGTGTGAGGTAAGTTAATTTACTAAGGGCTAATACGATTTTTTTAAAGGATGTTGACCCATGTTACGGTTCATTTTTCAAAATTTTCCTAAAATATACTAACTTATGCGATGTCCGCTTCATGCAGATCATAATGGCAAAAAGAATAGTATAATTTATATGTAATATACCTGATGTAATTTGCCTTTAAAAAATTTAAATAAATTTAAATGCACAATGTATAAAATGTATACTAATACAACACTTTCAATATATATAAGCACAGCCGCAAGATTCCGGTTCCTAAAATTGTGGTGACTGACAACATTGTTGTGGGCATACAATATGAATGCGGGGTGATAATTGCAACTGATGTCGGACCTACTATATCAAATATGTATCGACTTCATGATAATATATAGTAAGTATGCCCATAGATAAAACTATATCAGAAAATCCAAAAATGTATTTACTCATTTTTGGAAATATTTTCTTATTTATAAGAAGAATTTTTAAAAACGCGTTCTATGTAAGTGCAAAAAATAAAAAGGTTTCTATATTAACTACGGAAATATAACGATTATTCTTTAATATAATTCACTAGAATCAGGACCAGATTTTCTTCGAATAATGTTTGGTAATAATGTTTTAAATATTTAAATTAATTGTTTTATAAATTGCTCAATTGCTCTGGGTTCATTGCAGCGCTGCAGTGACAGGAGTTGGCCAGGACATATGTGCCGTGGTGAGTGTGATCCAATCAAAGCTGGAGATGCACCACATGACAACCAATTACCGCCGGGTGCCGGTTCGCTGTGCCAACCAAATGGCCAAGCAGCTGCTCCACAGCCAAGACGGCGACTTGAATGTAAACCTGTTGATCGCCGGGGTGGACAAATATGGGACGGAAATGTATTCAACGCGGTTCGATGGCTCCTCGGATACTGCCCCATTTACCGCTATGGGTACCGGCACGATGAACGCGATGTCCCTGCTGGAGACGCGCTGGCGCACGGGCTTGGATGAGGAGACTGCTCGCGATGTTATCCGCGAGGCCGTGATCTGCGGAACAGGAAGGGTCGAAGGTCCTTTCAAGAGTCCCATCCGACTGTGCATTTTGAGGAACGATTACTCGATGCTAGATGAGACAATAGGTTCAGTCGTGCAGCCTTTAAGGCCTTTTGTTTCGCGAGTCGTGCCAAAAATTGTGGGCGAGAGGGTGGTGATGGTGGAATCCAGTACTCCAGAAAATGGTGGTAGTGGAGAAGAAAGTGTAGTAGCAAAAGAGAAAATAAATACAGGAGGACTGGCGAAAATAGACGAAGGAGGAGATAAATAAGGAGCAGGGGGAATAGAATATCTGGAATCTCCAGGTAAAAGAGCGAGGCCTTTCATTATAAATATTTATTAATTTTTTAAAACTTGACCACCTAAAAATGACGATCAATAAATTTATTTTAAATCAGGTATCCTTGAAATTATTTCCTCTGTATTCTCCTTGTTAGAATTACCATTAAAGAAGTATAATCAAGAGCATAATTACACATTGTCTAAAAAAAGTATATTAATTAAAATATTTCGTTTTAGCAAATCTGAAAAATTGTATATAAAAACTTATGTCCTGGCAAAATCTGTTGAAACTGCAGTTAATATCAAATGTGCGAAAATCTGCACTTGAGCGGCGCCCACTTGACATGCAGAATCATCTCATGAAACTTAAGGACTTTACAATAATAAATACTGATACTCAAGCTCAAGTAGCGAAACAAAATCAGCATAAAGTGGCTGCGAACAAACAACTAATAACAACAAGGGGAATTTGTGACGTTTCAGGGACTGAGTAGGAGTCACCATCGGGTATCTGATAGTAAGGTACCAACTGGACGTGTGTGTTTGCTCTCCATACACATGCCTATCCAAGGGAAAGGATAGTCCTAGAGATGACAGCGTGATGATGATGATTTCTTAATATTTCAAACAAACTTAAAAACATATAAATTAATTACTAAAGTATTTAACAATATACACGAGGATAAAAAGGATTTGTGTGCAGCATCCTTAAATATTTTAATTTACGGGGAAGTAAGCTCTATTAATTAAACAAAAAAATATTACCTGTTTAGATCAATTTTAGTTAACGAACTAATATCATTTATAATTGATTTAGCTTTTTGACAAATTGGTTAAAATTAATTGGTTAAAATTAAAAACATGTTTTAAAGTAAAATTTAAACTTATTTCTTTAGCTTCCATATTTCGAAAATTTTGAAATTTTATAGAGCATATTTGGTTTAAAATATATCTATAAAAATCTACTTAAAATACGAATTAAATTAGAAAAGCATTATATTTCCTTTGATACTATCTCCTGCCCATCTCTAACCCCAACAGAGACAGAGAGAAAAATAGAGAAGGAGAGTGAGTCGCATGCCGATGCTCTGCTGTGATTGGCTTCTCGGCGGCCATTTTCCCCATATAGCCGCCCATACACACTGAGACATCAGCATCAGGCAATCTCTGGGGTGAAGGCGTTAGGCGTTCAGTACCAAAATCGAGCTGACAAATTGCAGACACGGTCGAGTGCGCATCGGAACGGCACTTTCGGGATCGGGTACGGTTGCATCTACGGGTTACGGACTGGAACTCGGTCCAAATTGGATTGTATATATATATTCCACAACCATCAGCGAGCGACTAGAGATATTTATTCACATTCAAGTGTCGCAAGTTCAAGTGCGATTTGGCAAATTGTACTATTTATTTGAGTTTAAAGTGCTTCTCAAGTGGCCGTGATTGGATCCCAAGGATGTTGCAGCACCACCAGCAGCAGGCTCAGGTGCCACAATCGAGTGGCTACTACGACTACAATCAGTCGCCCAGTCCGGGGAGCTTGACAAATGCGGATGGACTGAACAGCACACCGTTCTCAGTCAAGGATATACTGAATATGGTTAATCAAACGGAGGCCTACGAGGGAGCTTACGGACATCTCGATAGGTAAGCTTTGGTTGTACATTTCTTAAAGGGGTTTTTGGGGATATTGTTCATATTATATTTGGGTTGATATAGCGGGGAATGTATGGAAAAATATTATGGATAGGAGAGGATGTGCTTCATTTTCAATCATCATAATTAGGAGTTGTGTAATCCCATTATAAAAGAATTATACATAAAATCCTGGCCCGCTTTTCTGATAATAAACCCTTCAGACTTTCCATATCAATTTTATCACCTTAAAATTTTAGCTTTAAGTATATGTAACTAAGCCAAAATACTATAATACATAAATATCATATGTTTACTTAAAAATAAATAAATAATGAGGCTATAGAGGATATTCAAAGAATTAGAAATACGTTTAAGAATTCATCTATAAATATCGTTTCCAACTCTTTAATAATTTATTTGATTTTATGATATTATAAAATCATTAAACATATTTAGGATCGTATTCAAAAATATGTTAAATTTGAACTTGTTTTATAAGGACCTTAGCATTTATATAAGAATTTAGTCCTTTTTTAAATAATGACAAGAAAGATCTTTGGGGAACAATAAAAATTTAAATTTTGTTGAATAATTCAGATTCCTTTATTTTAATTGATATAAATTTGATCATCTTTGAAAATCTACAATACAACCAGCTGTTATTTAACTGCTGTTTAATTATTACACAGCATCTTTTTATATATTTACTTGGATATACACAAGAATATACATACATATATACATATGTATATGCAAGAGTATCTACCCAAATCTACCTGTCAGCAAGTTCTTCTCAAAGACAGACAACTTCCCATTCCCAGTCGCATTTTATTTATTTTTATTTAATAAGGCTCCATAGGAAAATTAATTTCTACCAATTTTCCAACGAAAGATAATATTGTGATAACCTTCCGTCGAGACGCGCGGCAGAAGAAATCCTATGAAAACACCAAGAAAGCATGAATTGCAAATAGGATCGAATGAGGGACTGGGACCGAAGGAAGAGCCTCGGAGCATGAGGCTTTGACAAATCATCGTTATTTGTACAAGAGGCCAAAGACAATGATGCGAAGACACACGGTTAACAATAAGAAAAACAAGGTCCGAGGCAGGCAGTCCGGTTCGGACTCCGGAGGTAGAGATCGCCCGCCCGATCCCTTTTGGGCTGGTCAACATGTGTGATTCGCATGTGTGTCCGCCGTTTAACGCACTGGGGCGTCCTTAATTTCCTGATGAGCCATGAAATGATGTCACCAAGCGAAGGGATCCTGTCGCGCCAGCAGGAAGTGGCCAGTGGAAAGGTCTACGGCCCCGGGGAGCCGTCGCTGTGTCCGGCGTGATGCAACACATGGCGGCCATGTACCATATATCCTCGTGTTTAACCTTTCCTTTTTTTTTTTGCCCATTTTCCTTGCTTTCTCGTAGTGCGGCGGCTGCTTCGGCGCTCTATGGCGCCGGCGAGTACCAACAGCATCTTCACCAGCATCCACATCCACATCAGTACCACAGCCACCATCAGCAGCAGCAGCAGCAGCAGGAAACTGATGCATCGCAGCAGCTACTGCATCCTCAGCACTTGGACGATGGCACCACCAACTCCTCGTCCCTGTCGCCGCTCCTGCCGCCCCCGCATCATCAGTTGTATGGCAGTTACCAGGACTACGGAATGCCTGCTCACATGTTCCAGCATCACCATGGCCATCCCCACCAGAGCTTCCAGCACTCGGCGGCTTCGGCCTACAACATGTCCGCCTCGCAGTTTTATGCCGGAGCCTCGGCAACGGCCTACCAAAGTCCCGCCACCTACAATTACAACTACGCCGGAACGAGTGATGTTTACGGCGGAGCCACGCCTGCCGCGGTGAGCATCAAGAGCGAGTACATCCCCACGCCTTATGTGACGCCGTCACCCACTCTGGACCTCAATAGCTCGGCGGAGGTGGAGAGCCTGCAGGCGCCGGCGCAGAAGCTCGGCGGGAATGCCAGCGGCGTCCAGCGACTAATGGAGACATTCAGCAACTCGGCCTCGCTAAGGAGCATCCACACTGCGGATGAGGGTGCCAAGAGAAGTGAGTATATAAAAGATTATTTTAATTTGAAAAGGGAATTATATATATTAAGTAGTTAAGAGGATTATCTTTACAAACAAAATGTATTTATAAAACAAAACCTCATTCATATTTAAAGTCCCAGTTATGTAAAGTATTTTACATTCTTGTTGATATTTTCAATTTCTAATACATATTTGGTTCATAAGAATTTTTCCTTATCTCCACAATTCTATTGCATTTTCCTAATTTTTGCAAATATTTATATTTTCTCTTCTCAGAGGACAACAGTCAGGTGACCTCCTCGCGATCCGAGCTGCGCAAGAACAGCATAAATGGCAGCAGTAGCCATGGCTCCTCCGGCAACCATGGATCCTCGAAGCCACGAATGAAACGCAAGCCCCGTGTCCTCTTTTCGCAGGCTCAGGTCCTGGAGCTAGAGTGTCGCTTTAGGCTAAAAAAGTATCTGACGGGTGCGGAGCGTGAAATTATTGCCCAAAAGCTGAATCTGTCGGCTACGCAGGTGAAAATCTGGTTCCAGAATCGCCGCTACAAGTCTAAGAGGGGTGACATCGATTGCGAGGGCATTACCAAACATCTTAAGGTGAAGTCAGAGCCATTGCCTTCGCCTCCATTGCTGCCACCGCCCATACCCAATCATGTGTTGTGGCCACCGACCATGCAGCAACTCCAGCAGCAGCAGCAGCAGCAACAGCAGCAGCAGCAACAACAGCAGCAACAACAGCAGCATCAACTGCAGCACATGCAATAGCTCCAGATGAGATGATAATTAGAGTCTTTAATTTATTGCGATTTCAAGCAGAATCTATGTTGTAATCTAAGAAAATGCCTCATAGCTAATAGTACCTTGTTTTATGTAAATGTTGGACAATAAATAAAGTTTAAGACAAAGCCAGATTTTGTACAGACTTTTCCATATACAAGATAATGTTCATATTCTCTACCAAACCAAAGACAAGTCTTAATTAACAAATAAAGTCATCACTTTTCTTCACATTTCTTAACCTCCTTGGTCACAACTCTTACACCCTGATGAATACATCGATGACTCCTTGCCATGCCGCCTCTCGTATTTATATCTTTATGAACAGCTTTCGATCGGCCACCGATCCATTAGGCACTGCATCTGCGTATAATTGCCGCCGATCGCCGCATAAATCAATTTTATCGAGACGAGCGATCAGTTTTATGAAAAACGTATATTCCAAAAACGAATGAAAACACACACAACGATTTCCGTTTTAGTGCTGGAAATATTTTCCCTTTGGCTGCTTTTCGCATGGGGATGCCACGGGGAAAGATAAAGGGTAAGGGGGTTAAAGTAAAAGGAGGGAAGTGCGTTGGCGGCAGACATTACAAAGGTTGCATTTATGAAACGTTTAAGTGGCAGGGCAATGGCAATGCAACTGTAAAATGTTTTCCTGAATCCACACACTGAGATACAGATACTCTTGTTCAGATACAAAATGCAGGGCACATCAAAAACTCCCCTTCCTTCTCCGGCGGAGCTCTCGGGCCATTTTATGACAGGCCGCGGGGCAAAGGCTAATATTTCATGATATTGGTGGTTCAGTGGTGTGGTGGCATATCAATTACTCCACAAACACATGCCTCCAGACTGGGGGCGACTGCAAATGGGAGGTTGAGGTTGAGGTTGAAGTTGCGCTGCCACAGACCAACAAGTGCAGCTGATCACACTTTCGGTTTGAGTTCCACATCTCTGACAGCCGAAGCTTCTTCGGGGGTTAGCTCTGGGGTGAAGACTCCTCCTTCTCCCTTCTTTCTTGGGTTAAGTGTCAATCACGCGGGGATCGGGCATTAGCTCAAATTGTATGGTAAACACAACGGAAATCCGAGAGATTTTATTTTCTAGGGGTTTTAAAAAAAATAATACATTTTAATTGGGGTATTGAATGTTTTGTTTAATTTTATTGTTGAATATTTAAGAGTTTAGAAGAAGTAGATGAATTTGTAAATGAATTTAGAAATTATTGACGGTTACAAAAAAGTATCTTCATGTTTATCCTTGTATCCTTTTTGTCATTAAGTCGCAGCTTACAATAATTCTATTTTTAAAAGAGCAAGCACTAGTTACTTCTCCAAAAGGGAGTTTCCTTTGGAGTGGCAAAAACAAAACGCCCACGCAGCCAAGGGATAATGCATGTCAAGTGCCACCAAACATTACCTAATGGACCACACTGACCAGACGGAATATGAATATCGGCGACCCATAAACAATTACGTTCTCATCTTTCAATGTCGGCGGCAATGTTGCGGCGACGTGTGCTCCTCCGCAATCGGAGTCTAGACCGACGCGACTCTCCTCAAGTGGAGAATTTGTCAATCCCATATATCACACGCAGGATCGGCGATAGGCCGGGATAGAGTTCGTTTGCTGTTGTAGCGCCGTTTAATTCATGTTCCGTCAGAGGATCAAAGGCTCTCAGAGCCGCTGTCGCAGCTGTGCCCCTTACCCTGACTCCGTTCACTTTCCTCTTTCTCCGGATCCCGATTCCTGAGCCCCAATTGCTTTCACTGCTCTCATTTGCATTTCCTCAATGCGGCGAGCCGCCAAAGCGAACTAGAGGTAAGCAAATTAAGATTTATTAACAACCATAAATAAACACTATGAAAGAAAGGCTGCAAGTGTAACTATTGGTGTTTTTTTTTTATTCTTTTATTTGGGGCAAAACTGTTTCCCATTTCCGCAGCCTTTGAATAGTGCCGCCCCTGCAATTGCATTATTGTACCCGGTAATTGTGGATAAATTGGGCATACTAGTATCGTTATATTGGTTTCAAGAACTTAGAAAGTTATCTAAATAAATATATTTATCTAGCATAACATAAGCTTTATATTATTTGCTAAAAACCTTCTCTAGTTGTAGTTTTAAATCTTAATTGGATTCATGATCAGAGCTGTGCATTGGGTAATAATTAATTAATTTTAGTGATAAAATAAATTTAACAAAATATTTTACATTTTGCCTTCATCGATTTAAAATGTATTTTTATATTCAATCATCAAATCTTTGATTATTTTCCATTTGTTATGGGAACAGTTTGTTTATAAATAAAGCACATTTAAAGTTACGAAATTATAAAAATTTTCAATGATACTCATGCTTTAAGTTTGGTTTTAAAAAAAAACCCCAATATGCAATTATTTCTTTATCTAAAATACATATGTACGTACCTATTTTTTTATTCTATTTATTCCGTTTTTAATTGAAAATCTTGGGGTATCGCCTAGTCCACAACCGTACTTTATGCCTATTTTCACTCTGCTTTTTCGCCTTTCACTCCCGCTGTCATTGTTCCAGATCCCGGGCTGTCAAGTGGCAGAGTGACTCCGACAGTTCCTCCATTAAAGCCTTTGACATTTTATCGGAAAATCCATCGAGAGATCCCGTTCCCGTCCCGTCGCTGAATATACATTTTTATTTGATGTGCGCATAAAATTGCGATCTCGTTTTACATTCTCTCCCCCCCAATCGAGGCCATGTTCTTGGGTGTCTCTGTTTAATTTCCATTGGCCGTTTGGCTTTGCGCGGCTTTCAAGTGGAATATTGTGACAATTATATTCAAATTAATTGAGTAATTGCATTCGGAATCCGAGCGGCGGCATTTTCGAGCATTTGATTTATGGCGTGTGGAAGCTGGGCACTCAAGGAGACGGAATCCGAATAAGCTAATAATCCCGGGGCGTTGATATCGCCTTCAGATGGGTTCACTGAAAGAGACGTTCGGGGCCAATGAAACTCGAGTTCCTGCCGCTGGCATCCTAAACTACTTGGGGAGCACCTGTAAACAATTTCAATATTAAACCACACAGATTTTGAATAGGAAGTGGGTGGGTTATGAATCAATTTAAATAGATGAAATTAAACCGATAAATTGTATTAAGTTATGGTAACTTTAAATAAGTGTGATTTTAATTTATAGTTAATCTTTTTAATGTCAATTTATTGGAACAATAATAATACACAATGAAAATACAATACAATTATATTCTTATTGGGCTTATACCCATATATATTCTTCATAAACTTAGTTATAGATAATTTGATCTAAAATACATTTAATATAAAAATCAAACAAATATTCATAAAATATGTTAAGGTTTTCAAATAATTTTTGATATTTTCTGATATTTTTTAATTAGTAGAATTTTGGTTTTAATTTTTTTAAACTCCTACAGCTGCCTTAGGATCAATCTAAAATATAATAGGAAATAAGCTAGCAGTTTGCCATTTATGAGGGAGAATTTTAAGGGTTTTATGCTGGATTTGTGCGGAATTAATGTGGTGTTTGAGTGGGAGTTGTGTGGTATTTGTATTAATGATTTGTTATCCAAAGTCTGTAAATTAACTTTAATTAAATTTATTTTAAGAACAAGAAAAAAATATATAATCTCCTATTAACGCAAGAAATACATTTACAATATTTAAGTCTTAAGACCCATTTGGGGTTAAAATTTTTAAAATAATACAGAATTTCAAAATTTTTTTTTTATTTTTTTTGATTTTTGATTTTGTTTTGAATCGGTTATGTTAGTAATCGTTCTAAATATCCGTTTTTTTCTGTAATGTCAAATCTGTACTAAATATAAGAATTAATGAGAGTCCTATTATACAAGACACAAACCTTATAATTCAGATGTGGTTTAAGTATCAGGTGCGGTTCAAGTATAAGGAATGGTTCGAGTATCAGATGTGGTTCGAGTATCAGGTATGGTTCGAGTATCACATTTGGTTGGATTTTTTAGGAGATAAGCGATATTGTCATCCGGCCACACTGAGCCCATTCGGATCAGCTGGAAGCGCAACAAGTGCCTCACTAACGGTGTTCAGTTTTTTTTCAAAAATTGTGGTGTGCGGACGACGTCACGCGCGTCGCCGGGTCAAAGTTGCGTCGGCGGATTGCCGCATTGTTTGCGTGTGTGTGTGCGGGAAGGGCGCGCTTTCATCTGTGTTTGTGTGTACGTTGTTCGTTCTCAGCGTGTGTTTCGAAATACCGCATTGTTTAATTACAGAATTACAGCCGCCGCGGCTAATTCCGTGCCAACAAAGGCAGTGTGTGAATGAAATTATGCTTAAATAGCTACAGCTAGCTAGCCACAGGTAAACACACGGCTAAGAGAACGGGAAGCAGTGGCAGGAGGAGGAGGAGGAAGAGACAGGTTCTGCAGCGCGGCAGCGGTCGCGTCGGCGCAGCAGCACCCGTGTGTATCTGTGTGAGTGGTCCGTCTGGTTTTTTCGGCCAACTGTGTGCGTGTGTGTTTGTTGTTTGCGAAGCAACAATTTAATTGCTATTCGATTTTAAAAGCAGTTCAATTGCAAACAATTACAAATATGTAATTTGCCGTCGATTGCGTTTGCCAAATGGTTTAAGTATAATTGCATTTTTTAGCCGCAAAGCAAACACACACATCAACTGGCGTTGCCTGCATCAATTGCCTGCAGTGTGTGTAAATGGCGTAATCGTAATCTTTGTGCCCCCTTTTTAATGATTTAATTAAAAGCGTAAATTGCAAGCCGAAATTCAATTTGTCCATTTGACTTGTGTGTGGGTGGCGGCGATTCGAGACCCACAATGACATTGAATTGCCAGTTGTTGTTGCTTTTATTGTTGTTGCTGGCACACACACTTTTATCCAGTAATTAAGTACGTGCGTCGCGTGCCGTTTTGCATTTTCTTTTCAGCCTCTTTTTGGGCCGGAAAATGTTCTCGTCTTATTGCGCGATTATTTGCATTTCCATCAATTCGATGTTCGAGACAACAGAAAAAATCGAAAGAGAAAAAAATAAACCAACAAACCAGTTGACCGTGAGATAATTCGTGCATAAATGCGAAAAATACAATACCAAATAAATAAAATAAAAATGTTGTGAATGATTGAAATATATTGTTGCCAGTGTTTGCTATTTCTCTTACTCTTCCTCTTCCCCTGTACATGTGTGTGTGTGTCTGCCCTTCGCCATTGAATAACGGCAGTTTTGCGAGGTGCAAAGTCGAAGAAGAGCAAATAACAACAACAAATTGCCATCACCTTTGTCGTCAGTACAGCGAAAAGCCAAAAAAGAGTTAAAAGCCGGCATTTGGAGGACGGCAAGAAGAGTTCGGCAGAAGATAAAAAACCAAACAAAACCCAACAGAACGCAACTGCGGCGTCAGCTGAGCCTTGGTGGCCACATTCCAGCGTCATCAGCCGGTGGAGGCCATAAACGTTGCCCCCGCCGCAGCCGCCAAAGCGGCCAAGCCCGGGTCACCAACGAAATTCTTTCTCCTCTGAAAACGGGAGAAGTGAGGAGGTAGAAGAATCAACAATACAGCGGGTAAGTCAACTTGGAAGTGTACAGGGAACACTGGATAAGTGGGTACACGAACACTTGTGTGGGGGTGGTGTTTTAAGCTCTGAATTTTTTAGCTAATTATGTTGAATCGGAATTTTTTTGATGTCAAAATCTATAAGATACATATGTTGTTTGAGAGAAACTAAAGCATATTTAAACAATATATTTCTTGTACACATATATTTATATTCAAAATTGTGAGTGGTTTCAACTTGAATCTTGAATCCAAGATTTCCAAAATCATGGCTTTTCAGACGGAAGACTCATTCTCAATGTTTAAAACAGTTTTTCGTAAATGAATTTTACGTTTTATTTAATGTTTTTCTTTGAAGATCAAGTAGAGCATATTTTTAAACATTTTAAAAATCATTTAATCTTAAATACCCCTTAAAATAGGGTTTTTATCTTTTGAAATGCAGCCACTTAAACCACGGCTAATAAGAAATTTCAATGAATTTTCATGATTTTATTCGTTTAAAACTGAAAAGAACTGTATAGTTCTCCATTCTATTGAAATCACTTTATTGACAGCATTTTCCCAGAGACCATTTCCCCACTCCATACTGTAAGTAGTGAGTACGTCAACGTCAATTTTCTGTTGCCATTCTTTGTTCAGGTTCTTCTTGTTGCTCCTCTCGCCTTGTTGTTGCTGCTGTAGTGTCACGCCCCTTCGCTGGTGGTAGGCGGCGGGCCATGTGAAAACATTTTTGCGTAGAAATTACATATTGTTTCGTTTTCACATCCCAGCCAACCTGCCACCCCGCTTGGCAGAAGGTAGGTAGGTAGGTAGTACCTTGGTTACTGGCAGCTAAAACCCCTTTACCCGACGCTTTCGTGCCTCTTGTATTTTTATGGGTCGTCATCCATCGCCGCCCCTCGCCCTTCTGGGGAATCGCTTTCTGCTCATCAAAGCACAAAAACATCCAAAGGCGGTTGCCTCAATTATGTTAATTATGAATTGCTCCGGCTGTCTGTCGAGTACGGGTATGGTGCACAGGGTCCGGGCCCTGGTTCCCGGAGCAAGTCAAGCGGGTAAGTGGGCTTTTGGGTTAGCACCTGGTGAGGTCGCAATGTAACCCAAATTTTGAGAGCATTTCGCAAACTTGATTTGAGCCATTGCCAAAAAATTGATTCATCTCCGCTCGCTTTCGCTTGATGATCTTTTAATGGACCATAAACCCAATTTAGGACTTTGGACGATCCCATGGCAATGAACTTTAGTCATCCGAATTCCTCACAGAGTTCAATCTTTCGTTAATTTACCTAACGAGCTGTTTGAGTTGTTGGGGATTACATCTATCTATAGTTTGGCAAACAAAGGTGATTATGTGGCTGATGTGTTAGTATATTTCTTAATGATGTTTTGATAGTAACGCGAAATTATGAAGAAGAAATTTTAAGTTAATTTTGCTTTAAATAGATTGGAATGTTGCTTGTTTATTCTTTAACTTAAAGCTTTAAAGATTGTTTTTTTTATAAAAATATAATCGAAATAAACACTTTAAATTAACAACATGATTTTCCCATGACCTAACCAACTGAAAACGAGTTGTATGTGCTGTAAATGCTTTTACAACTAATGCTGCGATTATAATCATTTGATAAAAACATTAAAATACAATATAACAATTTATAACAATTAAAATCACTCGACTTTTGTTTCACATTTCGTGATGCACATTCCAATCTCCCATTCAGCCCGCATTTAACCCTTTTGTTCGTACTTTTTCAAATGAAATTTATCGCAGATTCAGCGGCAATGCCAACAACAATAGATCAGGAACAGCAGCCGCTGAGACCGCCGCCATATTCCCCGGCTAACTTCAATTTTATCCGCCACTGGAGAATTTCGTAATTTTCAAATCACAATATTAATGCTGGCCGCCCTCCCCAAACAATGGTGAAAAGTCTGTATAGTGTAGTTGCTGTTGTTGTTTGCCTGCTGCAACCGGGTGGAGCGTGAGCTGGAAAACCGGCGGCAACGCGACGCTTTTTTGGGAAACCTTTTAACAATGGAAAACTTGCCCAAGCCGTCGACGGAACTGCGTCCAAACTGCCGACGTTGTTGTTGCTGTTGCTCTTGCTGTTGCTGTTCTTGTTGCCTTTGCAAAGCCGGAAGATATTTCAGACTGGCTTGCAACCGGGCCTGAACTGGCGGCATTCAGGGAGGGAAGGGTTGTGTATGTGGTGGCTGCCAACTGTGGGCCATGGGGAGTTGGGTGCTGGTTCCATGTTTAGACAGAAACAAGTTTTATGCTCTGGCAATGATGACGCTAGAGCACTGACTCCAACTCCCAACTCAAACGCCGACTCTCTGCGACTTGGACTCTGGCTCTGACCAGTCCATCGGCTTCGGTGGCCAGCTGCTTTTGTTGTTCTCGGCCTACACTATTCAGTTTTAGTGCTTCAGTGCTTAGTTCCCCCTTCCGACTCCGACTCTGAGGCTGCCTCCGGTTGCGATTCCAAGCCCAAAAACCAGACCCGGTCTGCTCCCGAGCCATTTACCAGAGTATTGGATACAGTGGCGGTGCTGCGGTGCAGCCGCGTTGTGTAGTTTTGAACTAGTTGCGGCGTATCAAATCAAGCCGAACCATTGTCCGGACCTAAAGATGGGATCGTGAGGGAACCGGGTCATGGACAGGAGACCTTTACAGCACGCGGGAGTGTAATTTATAAAGGTATAATTGAAAGATTTATCATAATTTACGGCAACATACCAAAAAGCATGATTTTTAATTGGATTTTTGGTATTGAAGAAAGTTAAGCTAGACAATAAATAGGTCTTTTTTTCAAACATTACATTTTCGATTATTAAAAACGTTTAGTGTTTGTCCGTTTTTGAATTTTCCAATTATGAAAATTGACTTTTATTGTTTATTTATCAAAATTCGATTTGAATTTGAAACCTAAACTTAACCATCTCTAGTGCAATAATTTCGCTTCCACAACCCAACAATCCACCTCATGCATAGTTCACCCATTACCCATACAGCACCTCACTCTCTCTCCAGGGGTCGCACTTTTTGGTTCTGTTCACAATTTGGAAATTAACTGGTTTGGTTGTTTTTGGCCTGGTCCGTTGGACGCTGGCCCGGCCAGGGGGAATCCTGTCTGGGCCGCAAACTCGCTCCAGCAATTCGTATTGTTCGATGGCGTCGAGACGGACAGCTCTATATATGTAAAGGATAAAATGAGCTTAAAGTTTTCCTGGGTTCACATTTAGTTGGTCCTTTTTACGCGTTGAGGTTTTCGACCGTCTGGGATTGCCCCCGAAAAACTTTTACCAGCCAAGTGGGGCGGTTACGCTTAGAAGTGGGCGTGTCGATATATAGAGAAAGGGATGGTCGTGACCGGGGTTTTTTCCGTTTTTGGGGAGTAGTGGCTGGTGGAAGTCGGCCATTCAGCCGCGACAGGAAGGCAGCACAGGAAGGAAGTTCATTTTGTGCAACTTAAGGCTCTCCTTTCGCTTGAGAGTGTGGATGGTCTGTAGACTCCCGAATGCCTTGAGTCCCGCTCCTTATTTTGAATAGGCTGGAGAGATCAGATATGGAACTCGATGAACGAGATAGATAAAACAAAGTTGCAGTCTGCATAATGGGCATGCACAACAAGCTAACTTTGAGATCAAAATGATAACAGTAGTTGGATTTTTAAAGATGTTTAGGAAGTATGCTAGTAACTCTTAAACTCTTCATTTTTTAGGTGGTTTACCTTAATTTTAAATTATAGAAATATATTTTAACAGTATGTTGAGAATATATCTCTAATATTTTATTTTTACTTCTAGATATTAGTCATTTTATTTAAATTTATATATAGACTGCAATTTCAAAATGGAAGTCTAGGAAATACATTTTTCCTTTGAATCGCATCTGGGTCCTACTCTCAATTTTGGCCACATCCTTTTTCTCTCTACTTTCCTGCAGTGCAATTGTGCCAAAAGCAATTTGAAGAATTTCTTATCTGAATTTATGATCCTCCGCACCTTGGAGCACATAAATCAAACCATAAACTAGAGACAGTCGCCGGAACATATGTGGCTATGATGGACCTTGCCAGGGGGAGTGGTTCCAATTTCTGGTCACTAATCCGCCGCACTTGCTCTCCCACAATGTCTGTCGCCTTAAACTCTGTCGGTTAATGGGAATCCGTGGATGGGAAACAGGCAAATTGCCCGGCTTGGCATCGCACAGATACTCACTAATACGCCCGCACACTCACTAAAATTTTTAATCAAGCTTGCCAGCAGCTGTGATTCCGCTGGTGGAAGCCATTTGGGAGCTGCACCCCTCTGTAATCCTACCTAACCCCCACCGCCCACATAATGTTCGTCCTTCGGGAGCACAAAAAATGCAATCAACGTCAAATGCGCTTCGAAACTTTGTGCAAAATAATAGAAAAGCCATTAATTTCACTTCTCGTCGAAGATGTTACGAGACGAGGGCGAAAACGTTGGAAAATCGGGGGCGTAGTGTCGGGGCGTGGCTTGGACATATGGCGACATGGCTGGGAAATACGAAAAAAAATTAGGAATTTGGCAAAGGGGAAGCTAAGAGAAAACGTAATGAAAGCGGAGCAAAGTAAAGTAATTTTTAATTATGCGCATAACGTGAGTCAAACTTTGATTGGATTTACACGAGATCCGATTAATCGCTCACTGCATCCGTTTCCCAAGCTGGTCTCTTGGGGAAAACTTTTTCCAAACACTCAAAATGTCTGCCCCCGCAAATGACGCAAAGTTCTCGGCTCAAACAATTTTCATTAGCAACAACAAAAACCGCTAATTTCACTTACAATTAGCGGTAAGCCAACATGTCGCATCAGTCGGTCTCCTGGCTCGGGAAAAGCAGTGGGTGGGTGGTGGTGACACACATGCAATGCCTGCACAAGTTTTTAACTAATAAAAAAAACAACAAAATTAAATATGAAAAGCTTACCAAAATATGAAGGGGATTCTTGAAATCCAGCGATAATTTTAAAAG